CAGAGGCGCGGGGAAACCGCCGCTGCTGCCGCTTCAGTCAAAGCCTCAGAAGCGCGGGAACCCGCCCGGTGCCCCTGGTCTGCTGGAGACGGTCTCCAGCAGACCAGGGGCACCGGAGCAGCTTACGAACGGGGCTTTCTCGCCCCGACTTCCGGGGCGAGAAAGCTCCGTTCGTAAGTGCGGATCCGACGTAAGTCGGATCCGCGTAAGTCGGGGACTGCCTGTAGCTGTTACAGAGCTGCTCTAAGGACTGTTCCCTAAGGACTGCTCCAATTGTCCAGGCTTGCAGAGTGTGGCTTGCTCCAGTCCTGTAGCTGCTGAACTCCAATATGCCGCTACATGGAGTCAGGGCCATAAAGCCTGTTGACACTGTAATCAACTTACCTATCATGTTTAGTTTAAATCAGTTAAACAGATTGAGCTCTTAAAGTATCTCATTGTAAGACATTTTCTCCAGGCTCTCAAATAATGTTGTTTGTTCTTTTTTGCACTCTACCCAAATGTCAACCTACCTTTTAAAAATGCAGACTGCAGAACTGCATCCAGAATTCTAGCACTAGTCTCATCAATACTGTACACAGAGGTAAACATCAGTTCCTTACTCTTACTTATTTCTCCTGTATTTATACACTTACGGATAACACTGGGAGCTCATGTTGAGTTGTTTATCCACTACAATCCCAAAATCCTTTTCAGAGTCACTGCTTTCCAGGATATAGTCACCTATTCATAGTTCCTAGATGTATGGTGTATCATTTGGTTGTATTAGGAGGTATTTTATTTAACACACTTTATGACTGGCCTGTGCTCACCATTATGTAATACACTCCAATCATTGTGTCATCCACAAATATTACTAGCAATTATATTTTCTTCCAGACCATTGATAAAAACACTGAATAGCATCACATACAGTACTGATTCCTTTGGAACCCCACTAGAAACATCCATATTCACTGATGATTCCTCACTGACATCTAATTTTTAACACCTGTGGTTTAGCCAGTTCTTAATCCATTTAATATGTACTTTATTGTTACTGCATAGTGATAATATTTAATTAGAATCTTTTGTGCTACTAAATACAACATTTCACATTGTTTTATTTCTATGTCCTTACCTTTATCAATCAAACTTGTAATCTCATTGAAGAATGAAAACAGATACACTTGATAAGACCTAATTTCTATGAAACCATGTTGACTGACATTATATTCCTTTAATTCTTTAATAACTGAATCCTGTATCAGCTTTTCCATTATTTTGCCCAGGACTGATGTCATATTAACCAGCTTGCAGTTATATGGTTCATCCTCCTTGCTATTTTAAATACATTACAGGATGGACTTCTCCTTAGCCAACACTTTTGAAATTCCTGAATGCAAATTTTCTGGTCCAACTGATTTTAAAAAATGTTTATCCCTAGTAGATGCTGTTTATCATTCTCCTCAGGACTGGAAAATACTTCATCATCCTCATTTGATATGATATATTATCCTGCTGCTGTCCAAATATAGAATAGAAATATCTTTATTGAATACTTCTGCCTGTTCTGCCTCATTACTTTACTATCTTCTTCTAGTAACCAGCCTACTCAGGTGTTAGAATATTTTTTTGTTACGAATATAGTTTAGAAAACACCTCCTTGTTGTACTAAACCTGCTAGCCATTAATTTTTCCTGATGACTTTAGCTTCCCTTATCAATTTTTTACACATTACTACTTCTGGTATATATTGATTATTATCTGCTTCCTCTTTTCTCCATTTTTATGGTAGCAAATTGCTGCCTTCACTTCTTCGCTGAACCAGGATGGACTTTAACCCATAGTTATCCTTTTTCTTGACTATGCAACTGTGGCTTTTGTGACATATAATACAGTTGTCTTAAAGAACTCCCAATTTTAATTCACACATTTTTCTTTCTAAATTTTTATTCCAAGTCCATTTGCTCATAAGTTTCCTCATCTTTGGGAAAGCAGCCCTTTGGAAGCATCAACCATATCTATCAGTGAATGGGACTGTCCTCTGCCTGCCTATAATGAATGTAACATTCCAGCCCAGTGATTCACTCATTTTTAAGATTTCTAAATGAAGTCCAAAATAGAATTACCTCATGCTAGGGGCAATACCTTTATTATAAAATTATCGTAATAATTGTAGGAAAATCTGATGCTGGCACAAAGAGCATGTCATAAGAGAACTCACAAGCAACCATGCTGATGTAAATGCCCAAACATGGGATCGGAATGTCCATATATGTGACACGTTGCAAAACAGGGTTTTTAATTGTGATAAATTGCAATAGGCAAAAGATATTTTATGGAAGTGAAGAGTGATTATATGTGTGGGCATGAAAGATAACCAGAGAGAACCCAAGGTGATATTAATCTAATA